ACACAGCTACCCAAAGTGACAAGGTCAAGGCTCATACCCAAAATATCTGAATGGTGAGCATAAAAGCTGAAGCATTATGTTATTTGGACCAATAGGCTTCACTCACAACAGCTCTAAAGGCTGAAATTGGAAATGAGTATTTGAATTGAGTCTTGTTTCCAAAGTGTTGCTTTTCTTACCTGTGGACAACTTTCGGTCAAACTTAAAAAGCAACTATCTTTATAAGTAGTTCTGATATGATTTAAATGTTGAAGCTGTCCCTTATTCCTATGTATGGAATTAGGTACTCATAAAAGTGTCTTCTTAATTGTTACATCTGTTTGCAAACAAAAACATCCCTAGACATATCTGCTCCAAACACTTGTAAGAGACACAACAGTTTGGGTACATAATTCTCTGTCTTGGATTAATTTAAGAAGCTGTTAAAGAAGCAAAAGCTGTCAAGTGCCCAGAATCTTACTAGATCTCTACATGAATGTGGGGATAATTTTGAAAAATGAGGAAGTGTTAAATTCGATTCCCAGAAGGAGATGCACTGTGCCCACACAGACCTTTGTTGTAGTTTCTGAAGGTCACTTTATATTAATTTATGGGATTTCTTCCAGTATTGATTAAAAAACAAAAAACTCTGGAACCCTAATCATGGAAGAAGAACATATGTCTTCCTGCCTGACCTACAGGAATTGACTGGGAGTTGTTTGGACATGGCAGAAATGGATTCTGGTTCTTTGTTCTTTCAGGCAACAGATGTGTCTAGTAAGCTGTGGTAGTTACATAATCTGGTGCCAATTTGGGAGGATTAAAAGTGAAGGGGTGAAGTCTAGTCTGTTAATTGGGTCATAGCCAACGAGGCCTCTGTGTGGGCATCGCCTTCTCCTGAGAATTCTGGGAACTCCTGATTTTCCCTCCTTGGAGGCAGGAAAGACTCTCTCGGCTCACTTCCTGCAAGACATCCCTGAGGTGACACCACATGGACTTACCCTGAAGCAGCTCTGGGAACTGAAGGAGCCACATGGAGACCCCTGCCAGCCCTGAGATGCTTCTATTGCCACTGACTTTGCACCCACTGGACTGTGATCTTCCTGCATTCAGCATCATTGCATGTGTTCTGTGAGTCTGAAGAGGACTTTATAGATTGGTATTAGGCATATGGGTTAATATTGGACTTATGGACTTCATCTGGAGTGGGCTGGGATATTTTTCTCAATATACAACTGCTCTTGTATATAAACTTCTTTTTTATACAATGTGTGTGTGTCCATGAATTTGTTTCTCTAGTCTACTCGGACTAACACAAAGGCTCACTGCATAAACCTCAATAAGCTCCAGCCTTTCTCTTTTGCCTCTGATTCTCTTCTTCCTCCCTTTACCAGCAATAATATGGATGCAAAGGTAAGGCCTGTAGTCTGCTGTACCCGCTTGAGCAAGGGAGGTTCTGATACCTGTGATGGGTGAGGACTGAGTCCCTGGGAGAACAAATAGTTAAGGTAGGTGGAAGCCACACAGAGGTACCTCAAGAAAAAGATCTGCTTCCAGAGGTCACAGCCGAGAAAACCCCGGGGAGCAGTTCCATCGTCTGTGCACAGATGAGGTCCTCATGAGTCAGTGTGACTCTGACAACTCTAAAAACACTCATGACGACAACTAACACAGCAACTATCATGGGGTTGTTTTCCTGGCTAGTCGCTAAATTTGGGAGAAGACTGTCCAAAAGCTTGGAATTCTCAACCCCAAATGTCAAAGTAACAGAAACCCTTTGCAGACTGGCAGTTTACAAGAAATGTAATTCTTTGAAGTCCAGAAAATCAGGATAACAAAATAGCTAGATAGCAGAGCAGCCGGCCCTTCCTCCCTTTCTTCCCTCCTTCCCGCCCTCCCTCTGTTGTGTGTTTGTGTGCATTTTTTGTGTACAATTCCGAGATCATCTTTCAGGGGCTACTCAGTCCCCCAACTACTGAGACCACTGGTTGCTTGCCTTTAAGAACTCACAGCTGCGTCTCTCTCTGGGCTTTGCCTTCAGGAATTCCCCTCCTCCAAAGGGAGAGGTCTGACCCCCAAATAATTTAGCTCCTCCCCAAAGGAAGCCAGGATCCAATGACTGGAATCCAAAGGTCAGGACCATCCCAGCTACAGAACTCCTGCAGGATCAGTTGCTCCTTCTGCCCAGTCCTGCCTCCCTTACCCCCAGTAAGGTCTCTGAGAGTACTTCGCAGTCAAGCTCCTGCATGCATGCTTCTGCCTCAGGGTCCATTTCTCTTAGACCCCAATGTTAGACAGAGAAGAGAATATCACCCCCTTTTATTTTAAGGGAAAGCAGGCAAAGAGAAGTAGAATCATCTCCTAAGAAAGCAAAGATGAGCAGGGATTCAAACCTAAGTCCATTCGACTCAGTCTGAGGTGTCCCTCAATGATACACCAAGCCCTTGACACTGGTTTACACCATGCCAGCCCTTACACCTTAGCAAGCCATATCCAGGGCCTTCTTAGGAAGCCTTTCTTGCTTCATTCCCATACATCCCGTGGCCCAGTCACAAACTCTTTGCTTTTCACAAACACATCAGGCTTTCTAGTAC